GGGGGGGAGGGGGAGGGAGGGTCCGCGCGCGCCTCGTCACCCTCGGGGCACCGCCTGCTGGCGCGAGCTCTCGGATCTGCTCGGCCACCGCTCGGCCCTGCGGTTCCAGGGAAACGTCCTTCCCAGCCTCGGAGTGAGGCGGGTTAGGCTGGGCCCCGTTTCCACGCCTTCCCACTCTCCCTGTTGTAACTCAACGAGGCCCAGTCGAAAATAAAGCACTGTTTAAGCTGGCCCCCAGCGGCGACGTTTGAGAGGAGTTCCCCAAGTGCGCGCCGAGGAGAGAGAGCGAGGGGTCTTTAAGCTTGTAAATCACAAACTGGGGGATTAAGGGGGGGATTCGGGGAAAAGGTCAGCTGCAGAGCAAGATATCAACGTTGGGAGGAATTCGGGAAAGAGGAGGGGGTCGGCGAACAGGGGTGTTTTTGTTTTCTTTTTTTTGGCAGAACAGGTGGAACATCTGGCGAGGTGGGCCATTTTTGATAAACATACAACTTGGGGAGGGTCATTTTATAGCCCAATTTTGAGTCATAGTAGAAAGTTACATTAGTTTGACCTGGTTTGAAAATGGTGCATACAGAACAAGACAGAGGCGCTTACTTTTTTTTTTTTTTTAAATTTATTTATTTATTTATTTTGTGTGTGTGTGTGGCCAGCTCAGCCCACCAGGGGGCGGGGCTGGCTGGCATGCGGTGCTGGGGGATTGAACCGTGGTCCCTGTGCTTTGCTAAACTTAGCTTGTTCTAAGTGGGTGCTTTAGACCACTGAGCCATCTCACCAGCCCAGCGGCGCTTACTTAAAGCATCACACCACCCACTTCTCTCCGCGCCCACACAGGCCTGGCCCACCCTAGCGGGTCCGCACCGGCCGGAACCGGGCCTTGCCTGGCTTTCCCGAGGTTCCAGGATCATCCTGGCCCAGGACTGTGGCTTCGAAAAGAAAGACAGTTTCCTGGAGTTTTAAACGGGAAGTCAGTTCGTTTCCCTCCAGCCGCACCCAGGCTTTCATCTCCCTGTTTGGCACAGGGAGCATAGCCAGAAAACACGTCTATGATGATTGGAGGAAATGGAAGGCAGGATGGGAGGAGAGTGACCCGGGCAGGAAGAAGGAAAGGGAGAGGGGAGTGCACCTGGAGGTGGGAGGAAAGCCCCGCGCCGCCAGCGCCTACCCTGACCCACACAGGGTCTTGGTCTCCCCTGGCGTTCCCTGCCCAGGCCTTGTCTATTTTTGGTCTTAGTCTCCCCTCAGGTCTTTCTCTGCTCTTCGCACTAGCTGCCCTTGACTGAGGGTTGTCATCCAGGACCCAGTGCAGGACTCAGCCTGTAGTTCCTCTTCTGGAGAAAAGCTGTGCAGTTTGGAGGTGGCTGGCAAAGGCTTCAAGTGACTGTCAACACCCACATTCCTAGGCTCTTTTGCTTTGCCCTGGGAAAGGGCTAGAGGGGGCTGAGAACTCTGTTCTCAGAAGAGATACACCCTCTGGGGGGCGTTTCCTGGAAGTTAGATGGGAGGTGAGGGTGGTGAAGAAGAACCCAGGCTGAGAACATTTCTGCAGATGGCTGTCCTCAGTCTCCTGTGGAAATGGCTTGCCTCTTGGCTCTGCCTTACATTGTGGGGTTTTGGGTTCTGGCCGGGCAGCTGAGGCTTGGGACTGAAAGAGCAGAGTCCAGAGTGCCTTTCACCACCTCCGGAAAGGAACTCCCCATATTTGGCTTGCTTCTGTGGAGTGGGTGCTGGGCTGGGGCAGGTCCTGGGGTTTTGTCCTGCTTGGGGTTATGAGGCTTGGGGCAGCAACCCCCTGGGCCCCTTGGTAGCTGAGTGAGGGCTCAGTCTCCTTCTCCACAGTCCATACCACTCACTGTCTGCCTGAAGCTATGCGAACGTGGGCCAACACTCAGTGCCTGATGCATGGCGTGTGCATGGTGCAACCTTGAGAGTGAGCTGTTGTCCTCTACCTGTGCTGGCCCAGAAAGATAGGGGAGATTGAGCAGGGACGGTGCATCTGTGGCAAGTGGCTTGTCCATTCTGTGTGTGCACTTGTGTGTGTGCACATGCCTGTGCTTGAGGGCTCATCTGTTCCCTAACCACTGTCACTGCCTCGAGTGAGACAGGTGCAGGCACCCTTTCTTGGTGCACCTGTGGAGCACTGTGCCCTTACCAGTAGATCACTGCCAGCCTGGAGGAGTTGGGAAAGGGTATGGGCTCTTCTATATGCTGTCCAGTTGGTCCAGGGTGGGGGTTCGCCCTTCCCCCAGGGAGGGGCGTTGAATTTTCTGGTGTGACCTTGCTGCCCCTGTACTAGGTTATGGGACCATCACTTGTGCCTCCCCTACCTCCAGCATGTCCTGGTGCACTCAGCAGTGTTTCTCCCCTCAGCAGGGATACAGTGTCTGTTGCCAGAGGTTTAAGCAGGCAGTTGCTTGCTGGAGCACTGTGCCCTTACTAGTAGATCGCTGCCACCTCTCAGGAAGGAGAGGCCACTGGAGTAGGATCGTTTGCTGCTCCAGGTTCTTGAAGTCAATAAGAACACCCAGGTTGCCAGTTGTAGTAGGGAACACCTGTGATCCCAGCACTTGGGAGGTGAAGCAGGAGGATTGCTGTGAGTTCAAGGCCAGCCTGGGCTGCATAGTAAGACCTTGTCTCAAAAAGACAAAACACAGGTTGTGTGCCCATCGCAAGACTATTCAGTGGCCATAGAATAGAGAAGCAGGCCTTGTTCATAGGTTAGCCTCTTGGCCCAGTGCACCTGGGAGTTGTGGACACTCGGCAGTGGGCCTTAGGGAAAGATGTTCAGAGGTTTTGGGAAAGGGTGGTGCTTCTAGGAACCCAGGTGCTCTGTTCTTCCTTCATAGGGTTTACCCTAGAGATTGTACCATCATGGTGGTGCACATGGCATTCTGCCTTGGGTGTGGTATTCTGCTTTGAGATAAGGCGGTGAAGTCTGAGGTCTGTTAGAGGTGTCTGAGCAACCTTTTGGGGCCCATTTGGTCTTCTTAGCAGATGCCTGTGAAGAACCCTAGGCATCAGTACCTAACGATAAGTGCAGCTGGAGCAGGGTCAGCAAAGCGGTTCTGCAGGTATTTTACTGGGTGATACAGCCCAGAAAGACAAACATGAGTCCTGCTTCATGACTTCTGTTGTCCATGAGAGAACCTAGGCTTGGGTGGCAAGAAGGCAGCTGTTCTGAGAACCTAGATTGGCAGCTCCCAGTGTAGTACCAGGGAAAGCCCATGGCCTGTGTGTGTGTGTGTGTGTGTGTGTGTGTGTGTGTGTGTGTGGTGGGTAAGGAGCCATTGGAGGTTCAGGGCCAGGGCTGTGAAGGGGTAGAGAGGAGGTGTGATGGGGTGGGGGTGGGGAGAGTGGGCTCTGTGCCCAGGAAACCTGGAGGCCAGGGAGGAGGCTGTGCAAGGTGAGAGGATTTGGGGTCAGACCCAGCCATGTGTGTGGTATTCCTGTGCTGTATGCCCCTGTGCCTAGTAGAGTTAGATGGTGCTTCTGAGAGATTACCTCATGGCCTACATTGGGGATTAAGTTGCAGCCTCCCTGCATGGGTGCCATTCCTGGGAGAGCCCTGCCCCTGTGGGTCCAGGTGGCCCCTCCAGTGCCACACACCCCCAGGGTCTCCCCTACCCACCTGGATGACCTCCCTGGCTCATGTGGGGACAGGTGCATGTCTAGGGGTTGGGAGAAGGAACCCCACTTCCTTCCTGCACAGTGGAAGGGTGGGGCTGACCTCTCATCCCCAGGGGATCTAGCTTAGAAGGCTGGGTCCAGACTTGGCAGGGATTACCTTTAGCTCTCTGCAGAGCTGCCACTGTGCCCGGCTCCAAGCTGGCTGGAGGCCTCACCCCACCGAGTAAGTGGGTGCTGTCCTGTCCCCAGGGTAGAAGCAGAGTTTCTCTGGGGGCCAGATTTTGGGAAGATGGGTGCAGGTCTGGAAGAGAATAAGTGGCTTCAGGTTGAACATGGGTCCTCCACGGTGGAGGATCATCAGATCTTAGATGGGGCTGGCTGTGGGTCCACCCCCCCATGCCATCTTCACTGCCCCTGCAGGGTCTGGGAGTGCTGCCCAGCTTCCTGTCAGCCAGTTGTCCTGCCCAGGGCATAGGTGGTGTGGAGACAGGTCCCAGTCTAGCAGGAGGTTCCAGGATGGGCTGGGGTTGAACAGACCCAGACGTGGCCATGTCGCAGGGATGGGATACCCCACCCCACTACACCCTGCCTCATCTGAGCAGCAGCACCTACTGGAGCCAGCATCCAGTAGGTAGCCTTTGGGCAGGTCCAGGGAAGGTTGGGGACACTGCTGGTGGTCCAGGGAGGGCTCTGGACTCAGCCCTTGCATCTCTGTGGGGTCCAGTGCTGTGCTGCAGGTGCTGAACATTCCGAGGCTTGGGGAGGCCACCCCACCCTCTCATATCTCACCACCCCTCCCAGGCATGGCTGGACCTAGGCCTGTGGTGCTCAGTGGCCCTTCAGGGGCTGGCAAGAGCACCCTGCTGAAGCGGCTTCTCCAGGAGTATGGCAGCATCTTCGGCTTCAGTGTGTCTCGTGAGTGCCTTGGAATATGGGGGCTGGGTCCCAGAGCCCCCACACAGCAAATGCCTCATGGCATGGGTCCACCTGCCTGGGGACCAGTGTGTACCAGGAGGGCTCTGTGATCCCCTCAGCAGGTGACACCTCTTTTCCTAGACACCACAAGGGACCCACGACCTGGTGAGGAGAACGGCAGAGGTGAGCTACCCGGGTGGTGCTGTGATTTGTCCAGAGAGACCTTGGCCTTCAGGGTTACGGGCACAGGGGGGCCTGGACATCATGGCAGCTTGATGCTTAGATCTGGAACAGGACTGGGGCTGGGGTTCCCTGCTGGGTGCCATTGGCGTGTGGCTAAGCACATGGATATATGCCCAACAGCACCTCCCAGGTGCCTCTGTGCCAGTGCACACCCAGGAGGCTCACGCTGTGGAACTGAAAAGGTGTCCAGCCCTCCATAGAGCCCAGGAGTCTCTATCACCCCCCCCCACCTGTGGATCTTATCAGTCTCCGTGTGACCCCAGTGGGTAGATAAAGGGCAGTGGGTCTAGGGGAGAAGATAGCTCTTGGCTGGCCTGACATGCTGTGTGACAGCCTCTTTTTCCTCCCCAGATTACTACTTTGTGACCAGGGAGGTGATGCAGCGTGACATTGCGGCTGGGGATTTTATCGAGCATGCTGAGTTCTCAGGGAACCTGTATGGGACAAGGTGGGCTGTGCTTGTCTAGCCTGGTATACCCTTTACCCTGTCCCGCCTGCCCCCTCTGCCACCCACCTGTTCGCCCAGCCTGCTAGGCCCTGGAGCTGGGCATGAGTGGTATGCAGACTGCACTGCCCCTCTGTGCTGGCTCCTGCCTGCGCAGCTCTTGTGAGCAGACAGGCCTGAACATATTCCAGCCATGTCTTCCAGCTGCCCTAGCAGGATGAGCAGCTGGCAGCAGCGATGTACCTTGGGGGCCGTGAACAGCATGGTGCTGTAAGTGTCCCACAGCAGCAGTGCTGGGGGCTGGGGTTGGGGGCAACTCAGCCACATCCCCGTCACCCTCTCTCCTAGCAAGGCTGCTGTGCAAGCGGTGCAGGCCATGAATCGCATCTGCGTGCTGGATGTGGACCTGCAGGGTGTGCGCAACATCAAGAAGACTGACCTGTGCCCCATCTACATCTCTGTGCAGCCACCCTCACTTGCCGTGCTGGTGGGTACCAGGTGTGGGCAGGTGGGTAGACAGATGTCCTAGAGACACTGACCCTGCAGTGTTTCGTAGGAGCAGCGGCTGCGGCAACGTAATACCGAGACGGAGGAGAGTCTGGCGAAGCGGCTGGCTGCCGCCCGGGCAGACATGGACAGCAGTGAGTGTTATGCCCTCTGTCGTCCTTTGTCGTCTTCTGGGTCTCAGCCAGGCTGGGGGTGGTGTTTGGGGCTCCTACAGGGCAAGGCTGATGGGGCTGTAGGCCCAAGTTCTACACAGGCAGGAAGCACTGGAGCTCCCTCATACTCTGACCATCTCTGCAGGCAAGGAGCCTGGCCTGTTTGACCTTGTGATCATCAACGACAACTTGGACGAGGCCTATGCACAGCTGAAGCAGGCACTGTCTGAGGTGGGCTGCCCGGGCCTTCCTGTGCTCTTCAGGGCACCTGCTGTTGGCCTGGCCCAAGAGGAAAGTGGGCACTCAGCCCTCCATAGGCTTGTTGACCCGCTATTTTTCTCCTTGGCAGGAAATCAAGAAAGTACAGGGGCCAGGCCAGGCCTGAGGACCAAAATCCATGTCCCCAGCCTGGCTCCAGGTGGGGCCCGACTGGGTGCCACACAATCCTGCAGGGGCCATGACAGGATGGGCAGAGCTGGTCCCCACATGGTCGCATAATGGCTGTGCTCTCAGCAGTGTGGGCAGCTTCCTCACTCACCGTGCTATAAGGACCCTGAGGTGCCCTACCCACCTCCCTTCCCTGTCCCAACCTCTCCAGCTGGAGTGGGCTGACTTCTTAATAAAGTAATTTGGACTGAGTGTTGCATCCCTGCAGTTGGGGCTTGGTCCTCAGCAGTCAGGGGATACAGTACTCTGTAAGTGCCTTGGGTGTGTGCCTTGTGCCCCCACCCTTGTTGCTGCCTGTGGTTGCTACTCACAGGTACATCCCAGAGGCAAGGCTCCTGGAGCGACCCTGGGGCCACCTCCTTGCTACTCTGGAGGCCTCAGGGTAGGGCATGTGGATGGAGGCCCTGCTTGGCTCTGGGGCCTGCAAGGTCACAGGCTTTGGTCTTAGGCCCAGCCACTGGCCCTCACTGGGGCTGGTCTTGGGAAGTTACTGGTCCTTGGGATATTCTTTGGGAAGCTCCATCCTGACCCAAGAGGCAAGCAGGCGCTGGCAGCCAGGTTGGCTTTGATGCCACCTCTTTCTCCAGGATGTGGGATGTGTTCATGGAGGAGGGGTGGGGGACAGCCCTGTCTGTCCCAAGGGCCAGGTAGATGGAGAGCAGCGGTGCCTTCGCTCCCTGTTCCACCCCAGCAGACAATCAGGGATTCAGACCCTGAGGCCGGCAGTGAACAATGGGGCCCTTGAAGGCCCATCCTCCACCCCCCAATTGTGCTTGGTGGTGAGAGCTGGTTCTGGCCCTGGCTACACATCCTCAGGGAGGGCCAGAAGGACGGCAGAGTCCAGCCTGAAGGAGGGAGGGCTCCTGAGACTTGTTTCCTGGCTTGAAGAAGGTAGGGGTTGGGGGACCATAACCTAGGCCAGGCAAGGTGTGCGGGGCTCAAGGGCCTGCCTCGGAAGAGGTAGGACCCAGACCTTGGAGGGTTCTGAAGATAGCACAGGCAAGGACAGGAGTGGGGTCCTGGGCCTGGCTGGCCAGTACGGATGTCTAGTGCAGCCCCAGCAGCTGGGTGGGAGCAGTTAGGTGCTTGCCCTTGCCTGCTGTGCTGCATTTGCTGCTGTGGTGGGCAGAGCAGGCCTGCCAGTGTCACTGGGATGAAGCTGAATGGCCTGGTGTGCCCCTGAGGTTCTTCAGGAGGGGGGCAGTCCAGGCTCAGGTCACCACAAGGAGCAGAGGGGACAGAATGACACCAGAAGAGCACAGTGCCCACCCTAGTGGCTTGACAAGCAGCTGGGAGGGGGCTTCTTCCGCCCTCAGCCTTCTCCCACAGCCCTGTACTCAGAGCCCTTGGGAAGGAAGACATCCAGGGTTGGGCTCCTGTGCCACACCAAGCCCACATGCTGCTGACAACCAGCTCTGCTTTGTAGGCTCCTGTGCCACACTGTACTGTTGTCCAGGGTAACTAGCTGCTGTCCCACCACCTGCCCAGGGAGGGATAGAACTCTGGGCCTGGAGTTACTAGAACCCCACCGGAGGGACCTGGAGGATGGGGAGGAGGCTGAAACAAGGTCTGCCTTGTGTGGTGTAGTGAGCTAGGGCCTGAGGTCAGGTACAGGGGGTCCAGGCTGCTGCCTCCTGCTGGGCAGTCAGGAGGTGCAAGGTGGAGGTGGGTGGGTGGTCTGGCCTTGCTCTGATGTGTTCTCCCTTGGGTGGGGGCTGTGGTCAAGGGACAAGGACAGGGTCTGAGTCAGATCTGGCAAAGACCAAGACACCATTGCTATCAGGTCCTGTGGTAAGCTGAGAACTTTGGGTGCACTCTGGGCAGGTAGATGAGATTGCCCCTGGGTGGCAGGTAGGGGTCCTTGCTCAGGCCAGGGTGGGCAAAGCCTTAAGAGAGTGCGCCCTGCCTCCACCCCTGAAGGACCAGGCTGCCTGATCACCCCAACAGCAGATAGGCATCCGGGCTGCTCACCAGGAGGTCACCGCTGCCAGTTTCCTTCTTGCCGTCAGCTGTTGGGGACAGGACCTGCCTGGTTCTGTCACCAGCAGTCCCTAGGTGGGTGTCATTGTTGGGTGGGATCCCTTGGGCCTGCCTCACCTGCAGCAGGTGCAAATGGCACACTGGCCAGGATGGTACAGCAGATCATCCTACAGCTGCCACCCCCAGGCCTGGTGAGTGAGAGCAGTGCCTGCGCTATACCAAATTCTGGAGTCCCCAAGTGCTGCTGGGCCCAGATCCCACCTCTGAGGCTTATCTTGGCCAAGTCTTACAGAGTTCTGAGCATGGCTTTCTGTCCTCATGTGAGTCTCAGCTGTGCACCACTATGGCGACACTCCCAGTACTAGTTTTCAGAAAGACCACAAGATGACAAGGCAGTTCAAGACAGTGTGGAGGCGGCACCATCAGTGACCTGGCCGCTCCCTGTACCCCATACCTCCTCTGAGCCTGTGTGTGTTGAGGCTCCCAGTCCTGCATTGGCATCTGTCTCCACGGCATGGGGCTCCACACTCACTGATCCCCAGGTTAGAGCCTGACAGTCTTAACCTGCCACTTACCTAGGGGCTCCTGGCGGGCCTCCTGTTCCTGTCATACCCCCAGGGGTGTCCCTGTTCTTAAGACTGCGTGTGTTCCTGTGCACAGGTGGACCCGGTGGTTAACATACACATGCGCAACCTGTGATGTCCTCTGTTCTCTCGTCCCTCCCTGCCCCAGCTCACAGACCCCATGGCCTCTTGCTGGGGTGGAGCTCACATTTAGACCTGTCCAGCAGACCTACAGGTCTCTGCACACCTGTATGTTCTCTGGTAGGCAGTCCACCTCTGTCAAGCTATACATGAACTGGTGTCTCTGCCATGACCCATTTTCCCTGGAACAACTGCCAGCTAAAAAGACAGGGCAACACTGGAAGTTAGCCTGACCCAGTGGAAGGGGGCCAGCTCTTAAGCAGGCCTGAGGGGTCCAGTACATGTGTGTGCACAGACATGCTTGTGTATAGGAATGTGTGTGCAGAGAGGTGAGGCAATAATCAAGCGAGGGAGGGTGCCTGCTGAGAAGCACTGTGAAGTACCCATCCTGGTGGATGTGGATCCGGGATCAGAGAGGGGGCCTGCACAGCAGGGACCTGAGGGCAGTGATGGTACAGGCCTGCAACACAGGGCCATGGTGGCCACACTTGTGTTTTGTGCACGATCTGTGGTGTGGGTCAAGTCATGCCAGCTGAGCAGCTCGGGGCGGGGAGGCATTCAGGTCTGACACAGCTGGCAGGCCCTGACAGGCATCTGCATCCTGTGGAGGAAGCAGCTGGGTCCCAGGGTGTGGACCTGGGCTCTGCCGGCCAACGCCAGGACCACAGCCCCAGAAGCAGGCTTGCAAGTGAGCAGCTCTGACTGTGTGCCTGCATGTGCATGTGTGACAGGCCCCCAGAGGATTCAGCTCAGGCTGCGCCTGTCTCCCTAGCTGCATGCTCCATGACAATCAGCTGCAAAGGACTGTTTAGCCCCAGGAATCCACAACCCATGAGCCAGCACACCCCGGGGGGGGGGGGAAGGGCAGGCAGGTATAGGACCCTCATTGCTTGGAGGACCTGCTGGAGAGAGAAGGCACACAGTGGCCTGAGGGCTGGGGACTGTGGTCTGTGTGTGAAGGTGTGGACTATGTGCCTGTGTGGGAGTGTACATAGGTTGGAAGTGCTATACTTTTATGTGCATACACATCTCATGTAAGACTGTGTATGTCTCACGAACCATGGTTATGTTTGGATGTGTCTGCTACATGTGTGTGTACATGGCGTGCTCCTGTGCTTGTGTGAGCCTGTATGCAAATGGCATGCATCTATGTATTCACATGTCAGTGCCAAGTGTGCTCACATGTGTATGTGCATCTGCACTTGTATGCATGGGATTTGTGTCTGTCCACATGAGTGTGTAAAACTGCATGTGTCAGTATGCACATGTGTGGGTGTGCAGATGTGCACATGGAGATCATGTCTGTGTATGGCCCCAGAGGGGCTGTGCAGATGGATGTAAGGAAGCAGGGCTGCTTCCTCAGGAACCTGAACTGCCCTGTCTTCCTGTGGTGTGGTGAGGCCCCAGACGTATAAAGGCCAAGCCCACAGCTCTGGCTGCTGGCCCCATACCTGCTGCCACTGCCACTGTCACTGCTTCCCAGGCTGGTGTGAGGGAGGGCAGAAGCGACACTGTTGTGGCTTGGGGTCTTCTGCTCCAAAGCTACCCAGGAGCAGGTATTGGCCCTAAGGCGAATGAGGCAGGATGGGTATCAGAGCTGTAGGGGACCCCATTGGGCATATGCCTGCTGGGTTTGGCTGGTCTGGGATGTGGCCAGTAGAGATACTTCCCGGTGCCTGCAGCTTCTCAGACTGGGTGCTGCCCCTGCTGTGACCATCCAGAGATCCTGTGTGTGACTGAGCAAAGAGAACAGGCTCTGGGCTGTGGCGGTGGTGGGTGCAGCCTTGTGGCAAAAGAGCTCTCAGAAGACGGCCTTTCAGGAGGCACAGCCCCCGAGCTGCTGTGCAGGGTGTGAGGAGATGGGGTTGGTGTGGGTCTGGTGTGAGTGGGGGCCATGCTGTGACCCTTTGGTAGAGTGGGCCACCAGTCTCCTGCCCACCAGAGAAGGCAGTGCCCCAACCGTCTCCCGGCCCTGGCACTTATGTTGCCATGGCCTGGGGCACTTTGCCAGGCAGGTGCTCTCTGGTAGAGGAGACCAGGAGGACAGCCCAGGGCAGGATGGGGCTGCTTTGGCAGGGTGGTGACCCGGCAGGTGCCAGGGGTGTGCAACCAGGAGGTCATGCTGACCGGGTTCACCTGCAGGTCTCCCACGCCTGCGCCCATGACCAACATGAGCTGGAGCTTTCTGACGCGGCTGCTGGAGGAGATCCACAACCACTCCACCTTTGTGGGCAAGGTGTGGCTCACCGTGTTGGTGGTCTTCCGCATTGTGCTCACGGCCGTGGGTGGTGAGTCCATCTACTCCGACGAGCAGGCCAAGTTCACCTGCAACACGAGGCAGCCGGGCTGCGACAACGTCTGCTATGACGCCTTTGCTCCGCTGTCACACGTGCGCTTCTGGGTCTTCCAGATTGTGGTCATCTCCACACCATCTGTTCTCTACCTGGGCTATGCTGTGCACCGTCTGGCGCGCGCCTCAGAGCAGGAGCGCAGACGTGCGGTGCGCCGCCACCCAGGCTCTCGCCGTGCACCCCCGCCTGGCTGGCCAGAGCCAGGTGAGGCGGAGCCTATGCTGGCCCTGGGCACCGGCGAGGACGAGGAGGAAGAGGAGGAAGAGGAACCCGAGGCGCCTGGTGCGGAAGACAAGGGAGGTGCAGGGGACGCGGCCGGGGCGGCTGGGCCCGGGGCACAGCACGACGGCAGGCGGCGCATCCAGCGCGAGGGCCTGATGCGTGCATATGTGGCGCAGCTGGCGGCGCGGGCGGCGCTTGAGGTGGCCTTCCTACTGGGCCAGTACCTGCTGTATGGCTTCGCTGTGCGCCCGTCCTTTGCGTGTGGCCGCCGGCCCTGCCCGCACGTGGTGGACTGCTTCGTGTCACGGCCCACCGAGAAGACGGTCTTCCTGCTGGTCATGTACGTAGTCAGCTGCCTCTGCCTGCTGCTCAACCTCTGCGAGATGGCTCACTTGGGCCTGGGCAGCGCACAGGACGCCGTGCGTGGGCGCCGCTCGCATGCCGGGTCTGCGACTGCCACGTCCCCGGCCCCGCCGCGTCCTGCGCCCTGCGCGCTGGCGCTTTCTGCGCCTGGGCCTGCTGGCCCGCCCGACTACAGCCTGGTGGTGCGCGCAGCCGACCCGGGCCTGGCACAGCTGGGGCTGCAGGCACTGCGGGACCGTGACCGCGACCACGACGGCCCGTCCTGCCCCGGGCTTGTTGCCGCCTCCCGGGCACCTCTGCGAGCCGGTGCCCCAGCTTCAGGCTCTGGTAGCAATGCGTCTGGCTCGGGGGGCACCACGGGTGAGCGCAGCCGGAAGCCCAGGGCGGGCTCAGAGCAGGGCAGCGGGGGCAGCAGGGACGGCAAGACCACTGTGTGGATTTGAGCGCAGCACGAGCTGCCTATGCACTTGCCAGGATCCCCAGAGCTGGAGCCCAGGGCTGATTGCTACCCATCTCCAGGAGTGTCCCAAGCCAGGGTGGGCCTCAGGGATCCCCACTGTTGGGCACCTGTCCTTCCGGTCATAGCAGCTACCCAGGTGGGACACCGTTGCTGTCAGGATACTAGCAAGGGACTGACTGCTGTCCCCACTGCACTCCCTGTAGCAGTAAATCAGCTCTTCAGCAGCCCCTACCCGGTTTCTGCACAGCTGGGGTGATTCTGGCCCTCCCTGCTGGGAAAAGGAAGCCCAAGTAGGCCGGGCCAGGAGGAAACCTTTGTACCTAGCCCATCAGCACCCAGCTCTGAGCTCCCTTTCCAAGACAGCCTGCGTAAGCACCTAGAGTGCACCTGGACTGGACAGGATCACGCTTTCTCTGCTTTACTCCTTCTGCTGGGACAACTGTGCCTTGTGGTGTGGACAGCCACAGTAGTGGTCAGGGTCTCTGGCTTTGGCTTCTGGGAGCTGCCCACCGCTTCTGGCTCTTCCTGATTCAGAGCTAGCTTCAAACAAGGGAGAGAAATAATGCCAACTTTGTTTACACAGAGAATACATATACGTGTCATGTCTAAACGTGTGAGTTCTTTGACCTACACAGCAGTTGTGCCTATGTATGGCAGTGAGTTCTTGCATGCATGTAAATGTGTGACAAATGTCCACTTCTGTTCAAACACACACACAGTTCTGCTCCAGGCTGGTTGGAGAGGAGCACTCTCCCCAGGGACAGGCAGGGCAGTCCAAAGACTAAGGTCCTGAAGGTCACCAGACTCAATGGTGCCACTCAGTGGCAGGCAGCATCCTGGGTGGAGCACACAGATGTCAGGAGACAGAGACCAGCTAGGCACAAGGTCAGCTTGAAGCTCGGGGACAGAGGCCCCCTGCCCTGCACTAGAGGTACCAGTATGCTGCAGTGGCTTTGGTGAGGAATAGGGAGGTGGGGAGGAACTGGGGCAGACCAACTGCTCTTGGTGAGAAGTCACTCAATGAAGGCCCTAGGTGACTCCTAGGCCAAGCCCACTGGAGCTGAGTCTAACCTCCATCTGATTCTGTGGAATGCCGACTGCCACTCACCTGCTCCAGGGCCCAAGAAGCCACAGACAGCAATGAGGGAGGGGCAGCCTAAGAGAGAAGGCAGATACTGAGCCAGAGTAATGTCCCCTCAGATGGGCTGCATAGCCGGTGCATGCCTAGTAAGAGCCCTGCAATCTGGGCCTGAGCTCTGAGGATGGAGGAGCTGACCCTTGGGGCAGCCAGGCTACCTGTGCCATAGGGCATGACAACCAGCCATGCCTAGTGGCCAGGCACCTGTGTGTTGTCAGGTCTTTGCCTGACTGGATAAGGCCCACATTGGGGTTTCTTCAATTCAAATGCCAGTCTCATGGGGAAAGACCCTCCCACTCAGAATGTTTTTTTTAGAATCTTTTTTAATTGACACATAATTATACATGTCCATAAGGTACAGTGTGAGGACTAGGGAGTTTTAAAATGGCACTTTGGGAAGTCTACAATCCATTGCTCTGAGTTATATAGCAAGGTTTGCCAGATACCTGGGTTTCCAGGGCCCTGTGCTGTGCAGTCAGTGATTGGTTTTTGAGAAGCTTGACTCTGGACAGATCGATGACAATGGGACACAGAGACCAGCACAGGGTATCTGAATCTGCCTGTCTCCATCAACCAGGTTGGTAGGCCCCATCCATAGCAGGGCACATCTTTCTTGTCTCAACTCCATCCGTTTCCATGATCTTGGCCAAGTGGCTGCTGCTCATGGGAGTTGGCAGAGGGCTGGGGTGGAAGGACCATGTTCAAAGATGCCTCAGAAAGGGAATGAAACCCTGAGGAGAGGAAAAACAGGAAGCCATTGCTACCCTGGGAGGTGCGGTCTAGGATCCCCAGCCAGCCTGTTTCCATGCTCTCTGTCCTGTGCCCAGGCCTTGTAGGGAGCTGCTGAGGATAGGAGGCTACTGCAGAGGCCAGTTCACAGTACACTTCCCCTCATGGGGCAGCAACCCAGGCCCCAAGCTTTGTGCTGGTGGCTACAAGGCCATTGGGGGCCATGCTGGTCAGGCTGCCACAGGAGGTCCCACTCCTGGAGGGGAGCTGACAGGATGGGGATAAGTTCCATTTCCTTCTACTTGGGCCCATCAGCATCTAAGCAGCCCCTGCATTTCTCTAGCACTGAGTGGTCAACTGGCCTTTCTGCTGGACAGTCTGTGGGGGTGAGGGTGGGGAGCCAGACTCTCTCCTGGCCAGGGCAGGGCTGATGTGAGACTGGAGGCACTTGACCCTGCCCTGTGGACAGCAAGGGTTTGCCCTCAGGCCAAAGAGGAAGGGCAGCCTGCCAAAACCACACATTCCAGCTCTGGCTGGGGACCACTAGGAAGGAGGGGCACTGAGGGTTAGGGGCCTTTACGGGCTCCTGGCCTGGACTCTCTCAGTTCAGGCTCTGCCCAAACACAGACGAGGTCAACAGGGAGGGGTTCAGTTTTTGGAGGACTTGGGACAGGCAAGAAGGGCCTGGTCACAGCCAGGAAGCCACATGTGCAGTCCTTTTTATACAGCTACCTCCAACAGTAATCTAATGTTAACTGAGACCCTCATGCATGGTAGGCACTGCCCTACACAGGGAGATGGCAGCCAGCTGCAACAGATTCTCTGCCCAGGAAAATCCCTTTTTTTTTTTTTTTTTTTTAATGTATTTGGTACAGGGTCTCACTATGCAGCTCGGGCTCATAGTGATCCTCCTGTTTTCAGCCTCCCCAGCGCTGCGATTACAGGCATGAGGATCACAAGCTCAAGGCCAGCCTGGGTAGTTAATGAAATCCTGCCTCAAGAAATAAAAAAGAGTTGGGCTGGCCAAATAGCTCAGCAGATTAAAAGTGCCTGCAAGCAGGCGCAGGTGCAGGCGCAGGAGCCAGGGTATCCCAGGGGCGCGCTGAGATGGTATGCGGCCTGCAATCCCAGCACTTGGGAGGATGTAAACAGGAGAATCATTATGAGTCCGATCTAGTCGTGAGACCCTGAACACCTTGTAGACCCTTCCCTAAAATACAGAAAGAAAAAGAAAAAGGGCTGAGAAGGTAGCTCAGTGGTAGACCGCATACTTCTAAATAAATAACTATTCTACTTTTAGGAAGAAACCTGTGGCGTTGTCAGGATGCCCCACTGCCTCCTGCGCCATCCACCGGCTCCTCAAGCCACTCCAGCTGGTGTCCCGCCACCGAGCGCCTCCAGCACGGATCCACCCGAACCCCTTCATTTTCACCCACTGACTGCACCTGCTCCTGGGCCAGGGGTTCCCACTGTATGCACTGTCTGGAGATGGGCCCATTTCTCTTATGCCCACCTCCAGGGCCCTCAAAAAAGGCTTTTTTAGCATCATCTTAAAACCCACCAGGGGCCGGGGAGATAGCTCAGTAGAATAAGCGCGTGCCTGGCAAGCGCAAGTCCTGAGTTCAATCCTCGGTACCGCAAAAACAAAAACAAAATAAAAACCCACCCATCGCGTGGGGCTCAGGGCCGCGCTGGCAGCCTTTTCACCGCGGGAGAGAACAGGGAGAAGGGCTGGAGACATCTGGCCCCGCCCCGCCCGCCCGGGGCCGCCCGGGGCCGCCCCTCACGCACGCTCCGCCCGCTTCTGTATGCCGGCGGCCGCCGCGAGGAGACGCTGTGGCGCCCACGCACCGTCGTCTCACAGGAGCGCAAGATGGCGGCCACGGCGTTGCTCCGAGGCGCGTCTGTGGGGCGCGCTGGCCGGGCCTGGCGCTGGCAGCTTCACGTCGCTCTGAGGCACTACCCGGCCCACGGCTCCGGAGGGCCCGGAAGCGCCTCCGCCGACACCGCAGCCTGGACCTGCTTCCCGCTCCGCGAGCGCGCCCTGTTGCGCGTGCGCGGCCCAGATGTCACGCCTTTCCTGCTGGGGCTGCTGACCAATGAGCTGCCGCCTCTGCGGCCCGCTGCCGGCGCGGCCCAGCCCCCCGCGCGCGCGGCCTACGCACACCTTCTGAGCGTGCAGGGGCGCACGCTGTACGACGTCATCCTATACCGGTTGGTGCGGGCGGGGCGGGGCGGGGCGGGAGCGTGCGGGAGGCCGCCGGCCCTCCCCGCGTAGAGGGCGTCTGGTGGCGGGGGCGGGGGCCGGCTAGGGACTGCGCGCAGCGTGCCGCGCCTGGCTCAGGAGGCGCTCTTCGCAGGCTCGGCCCTCCTGTCGCCCCCCTCGGCGCGCGCCTCCCTGTCTCCTCGCGAGGCTGAACCCCACCGCCTCGGTGTGGTACGGTCGCTGCGTCGGGGGCTGCGGCGCTTTGTTCTGGTCTGTTGGCTTCAGTGGGTCTGGTCTCCCAAGGTGACGAGACCTGTCAGGACGACCTGACGGAGTCCGAAGCGGCCTGTGCTGTGCTGTCACGGCTGCGTCTCCTTGCTGCGGCGGGGGGTAGTGGACGCGGCTGCCGCGGCCCCCCACCCCTCCCGCGGGTGGGCCTCAGGAGGGCACTCTGATGTGCCTCACTCGATGTGCCTGTCCTGAGGATGGGGCACCAGTGGCCTCTGGAGGGGCAGGGGTGGTGGGTGCCGGGCAGCCCAGCCGCCTTCCTGGTACTGTTGTGCCAAGTGGAGGATGACAAACCCTTTAAATCTTCTCCGCCCTTCGGCAGCCTCGGCACCTCCTGGTGTCCTCGCAGAGTCCATGGCAGGATGTGTGGACCTCGGGCCCTGCCTGCCTGGTCTTCGTGCTCCTCCACCTCCCTGGATCCCCCATGGGGTGGGGTCTCCTTGAAGCCCAGGTAGGAAGAGGCTGCCTCAGATTTCGTGGGGCAGGCAGCCCCGGAGTGCAGGCTCCGTGTAGTTGGGAGCAGTGCTCAGGCTGGGGCTGGGTTGGATCGACCCCTGGCTGCGGTGCCCCCTTGCCTCACGGGGTGTGAGCATGCCTGGGTGCCGCCCACTGGTATGTTCAGACTCAGGCGCTACTGTCAGCCTTAGTTACTTTTTTCGTGTTGCTGAGACAAAAAACCCAAACATCCAGTGTTCAAGGGGGTAGGTTTATTTGGCTCACAGCATATAGAAGTTTCAGTCCCTAGTCAGCTGGCTCCATGGCAAGGTGGTTTTGCAGAGGAGAACAGCTCATAGCAGGCAGAAGACCACAAAATCTACAATGACCATAACAGCGTCTTTGTGACCCTTTTATAGTCTATCTGTGCTGCTGGGATTTGGGTGGGTATGCCAAACAATCAGTGAACTAGCATCACACTCTAGATTCAGCCACCTCTAAAGCCTAACCCCGTGACTGCATGAGGCTTTAGGGGACATCCAGACACAGCTACTTTTCCCAGGACCACTGTTGGGCTTTGCTCCAGGTGGGGCCACTGGGCTCTGGGAAGAATACAGCGACTGTTTAGTGTGTGTTGCATCCCAGCCTTCTGTAGCCTTGTGCTCAGTCACCCCTGATTGGGAATATGTGAAAAGATAATGTGTCTTTGCTGAATGAGCATGGACTTCTTGCCGTTATTCTGTAACAGTATAGCTGAGCGGCAGTTGGCTAGGTGTTTCATTGTGGTAGGGATTCTTTTTTTTTTTCTTCAAAATTTTATTGATAAACAGCAATGAGACAGTTTCAAATCACATCGGAAGTACAGTTTCAACAAATAATACACTGCATATATT